CGCCGCTCTGGCCGCCGCCGTAGCCGCCGCCGCCGCCATTATTGTAGCCGCCGCTGGCGCCGCCGCCGTAGCCGCCCTGGCCACCGCCGTAGCCGCCCTGGCCGCCGCCGTAGCCGCCGCCGCCGCCGCGGCGGTCGTCGCGGCCGCCGCCGTTGAAGCCGCGGCCGTAGTCGCCGCCGCCGGACGGCGCCCCGCCGCCGAGGAGCGGCGGCGGGCCGCCCGACGGCGGGTGGCGCTGGTCGTACGGGCCGCCCGACGGCGGGTAGCCGCGGTCGTAGCCGCCGCGGGGCTCGCGCTCGCGGCTCCGGCTCCGGTCGCGGCGGCCGCCGTCCCAGGGCTGCTGCCGCTCGCGCGCCGCCGCCGACGACGCCGCGTCGCCCAGCATCGCGGCGATGGCGTCCGGCGCCGCCGCGTTGGCGCCGCTCGTCATCCACGCGGGCAGCGTGTTGCCGCGGCCGCGGCCGGAAGCCATTGCCGGTCGCGCGCGGCCGCCGTCGACGCCGGTGCCGCGCGCCGCGTGCGAGCGCTCGTCGCGCAGACGACGCCGAGGACGAGGACGCGGGAGGACTGCGTCCGCGGTCGGCGGTCGCCGACGGCTTCTGCGCGCTGTTGGTTGTCGTCCACAGCCCGCGGCGATCCCAAGGTCGCGCCACACTGCGCCCGCGGCCGGCACCATCGGCGTCGACCGACGCCGTCGGCGACGGCGCCGCGCGCGTCCTCCGCGCGCGGCCTCCAAGACCCACGCCGGTAACCGGGCGCCGAATATAAAACGAACCAGCGCGCCCCTCAGCCCGCGAGGAACTTGTCGCCGAGGTGGCGCGCCTGCTCCGCGCGGTTCTCCGCGGCCTCGGCGGCGTCGACGGCCGCGGCCTTGGCGGCCTTGCAGGCGATGACGGCGTTGCGGACCATGACCGTGAGCTGATTCTTGGCGCGGATGACGGCGTTCTTCTGGGCCTTGGCCTCGCGCGCGGCCTTGCGGGCCTCCTTGTCGACCTTGTCCTGCTTCGCCTTCTTCTCGGCCTGGCACTTGTCGCACATGCAACGCTTCGAGTGCTTGCGCACGTTGCCGTTCTTGTCCTTCTTGACGTAGTCCATCTTGTCGGCGTTGGCGTAGCCGCCGCCGCCGCCGCCGCCGCCGCCGTAGGAGCCCGGCTGGATCGCGCCAGACTTGCGGAGCTCGGCCATCGTGTCCTTCTCCTCCTCGGACTCGTAGTCGCTGTCCTCGGCCTTCTCCTTGGCCTTGGCGCGCTTCGAGATCTTCTCGAGCTGGTCCGACTGCATGAGGTCCTTGTGCTTGTAGGGGCCGATGGTCATGGAAAGGATCGTGACGACGTAGCCGAAATCCGCGTCCGCGATCTCGAGGTGGCCGTAGGGCACGATCTGCGAGCTGAAGGTCTTGACGTGGGGCTTGAGGCACTTCTCGTGCATGCCGTAGACGTCCCGGGGGAAGATGTCGTGGTGGCTGCCGTTGATCGTCCACATGTTCGTCTGCGCGAGCGCGCCACCGTCGAGGCAGTCGATGAGGTGGTAGAGCAGCGGCGTCGGGCCGTTGAGGGGCACGAGGGACCCCAGGGGCCCCTTCTCGAAGCGCCGGCAGAGCGCGACGTGCTGCGCGACGACCGCGCCCTCGTCCCAGCCGCCGAGCGCGATGTAGCCGCCGCGGACGAGGCGCAGCTCGCGGTCCACGAGGCGGCTCACCCAGGCGCAGGCCTCGTCGACCTGGGCCCGCAGCAGCCGGTCCCGCCGCGTCTCCTCGGCCTTCTCGAAGAGGCCCGTGCACGCGACGGGCGGCCGGAGCGGCGGCCGCCGCTTCCAGAAGGGGATCTTGAGCATGGCCGCGATCTCCTCCTCCGTCGGCGGGCAGTCCCAGTTGTGGTGGCCGTTGGGCTTGAGGTAGCGCGCGCCCCACTCGTCGCTGGACAGCTCGAACCAGTGGAGCGGCGACGGCGTGAGCCGCCGGCCCGGCGGCGGGGAAGCGACGATGACCTTGAGCTCGGGGAACTCGCGCCGCGTCTTCGACTCGAAGATCTCCGCGTGCTCCCGCAGGTCGTCGAGCTCCATGTCGGGCCCCGCGAGCCAGATGAGCGTCGCCTTGTGCTCGAACCTGTGTGGAAATCAAATATTCAACCCGACTTCAATGTGCGCGTATGCGACCGTTTTGACGCGAGGTCTTCTGCTGTGCTTCGAGAACTCGATGAGAGCAATCGATTCGTCCAAAAATCAGCCGAATCGACTTCGATTTGACCGAGATAGAGAGTTCTGAAGTTTGGTGGGGACCCCCCAAACCAGTGGTTGATTTCCACACAGGCTCGAACTGCTTCTCGTGGTACGGGTCCGCCCACATGAACCGCCGGTTCTTCGTGGGCTGGTTCCGCGGCGCGCCGCAGCCGCGCACGACGCAGCGCGTGTCCTCGAAGTCCACGGCGAAGGCCGCGGCGTCCTGCTCGGCCTTGGCGCGGATCGCGGCCTGCGCGGACGTCTCGATGCGGCTCGCGCCGCTCTTCGCGGCCTCGGCCTTGCGGCGCCGCGCGGCGAGGCGCCGCTTGCCCTCGCCCGTCTCGTCGTGCTCGAGCTCGTAGACGGACCGCTTCAGGCGGCTCCGGTCCTGGACGCACTTGGCCGCGTTCTTGTCGCCGACCTCGTGCTCGCCGCGCGTCGTCGCGCGGATCTTTAAAACGGCCTCGACGTCCTCGAGGGCGCCCTCGTAGTCCTCGCAGGCCTCGAGGGCCTCCGCGCGCCGCAGGAGCGCCTTGACGTTCTCCGGCCAGGCGCGGAGCACGAGCGTGCAGTCCTCGGCGACGGCCGCGTGGTTGCCGAGCTGCTTGTACGCCGCGGCGCGGTTGTTCCGCACCTTGAGCGCGAAGTGGCCGTCGGGCCGCGAGCACATGGCGATGCACCGCGTGTACTCGATGACGCACTGCTCGAAGTCGCCCTTCTTGTAGCGGTCGTCGCCGCGCGACTTGAGCTCCTCCGACGCGGACTGGCGCTCCCGGAGCTCCATCTTCGTGCGCTGCTTCGCCGTCAGGTTGCCGCGCTTGCCCGCGTCGTCGGCGCGGTTCTCGCGCCACCAGGCCATGAAGTCCTCGCAGTAGGACTTGGACAGGTCCACGTCTTTGTCCTTTTTGACTTGCGACGGGTCCATCGTCGGCCCGCGCGCGGGCGCCTCGAGGGACACGACCTGGCCCTTCTCGGCCATGCGCGTCGCCCAGTCCTTCTCGTGCTCCCCGGCGTTGCCCGCGTCGCCCTGCTGCGTCGCCCAGAACTGCGCGAACTCGTCGAACGCGCTCCGCGGCTCCTCCTGCTCCTCGTAGGTCTCGAGCTCCCTCTTCGCCGCGTCGCGCTCCTCCTTGGCCTTCTTGCGCTCGCCCTCGGCGATGCGCTTCGCCGCGTTGTCCTTGGCCAGCAGGCGCTTCGCCGACGCGACCGCGCGCTCCGCGGCCGCGCGCGACGCGTCGCAGTAGGCCGCGCGCGCGCGCTGCGCGTCGGCCCAGATCTCCGCGTCGCTGAGCTTCGCCTGGACCTCGGCCATCTTCTCGACGAGGCCCAGCTTCTCGGCCCACTGCTCCGCGTGCGCGTCGGCCTCGTCGTCCTGGCGCTTCTCCTCCTGGAGCATCTCCTCCAGGGCCTGCTCGAGCTCGTCCTCCTGGTCCACGCCGAGGTCGTGCTGGATGTCGCCGATGTAGATGAAGGCGAAGACGCCGCCGTCGCGCAGGCCCGCGCTCCAGGCCGTGGTCTCGTCCTCGAGCACGGTCTCGCGCGCGTACGTCGTCTCGCCCGAGAACCCCTTGCCGATGCGGTCGTAGGCCTCCTGCTCGAGCTGCTCCTTCTTCTTCTTGCGCTTCTTCTTGCGCCGCCGCTTCCCCGTCGCCGCGTCGTAGACCCAGGGCGTCCACTCGTTCTCCTCCTCGGCGAGGCGCTCCTCGACGAGGCGCTTCGCCTGCGCGTCCGCGACGGCCGCGTCGAAGCGCACGGGCACCTGGGCGGGAAAGGCGTGATGCAACGTCGCTTCAACGTGGATGTGCCGCGCGCGCGCGTTCCGGAAAAAAAACATCCACGCGTCGAGACCGTTCCGAGAGATGATCGCTCGTCCAAAAATCAGCCGAAACGAGTGGAACGCGGCCGAGAGAGGAGACGTTGGGCATGTCGCTCTCTTTTCCCGCCCCGACGGGCACGACGCCCTCGTCGCGGAGGCCCGGGTTCGCCTCGCAGAGCTGCTCGATGACGCGCTTGATGGACGCGTCGCCGCGGATGCGCAGCGGCGGGCCGAGCGCGCCCGTGCCGATGGGGTGCTTGGGCTGGACCGTGTACTTGCGCGCGAACGCGGCCGCGATGGGGTCCGCGGCGCCCGTGGCCTCGTCGTCGTCGTCGTCCGCCGTGCCCGCGCAGTTGAGGGACCAGAGCACCTTGTCGCTGCCCAACAAGCCCATCTCCCAGAGCGTCATGGCCTCGGGCGCGAGGAGCTTCCGCCCCAGGAGCTCGAGCTCGATCTGAACGGCCTCCGGCGCGACGGGCAGCTCGAGGCAGATGAGTTTCCGCACGTCCGACGGCGTGCAGCTCGACCGGGCGCTGATCCAGCAGACGGGCGCCAGGTCCAGGTCCTCCTTGGGCGTGATGGTACAGTTCGACGCCGTCGTGTCGAGCGACGCCACGGAGTCGGCGTCGGACCAGCCCTCGGAGTCGTCGCGGCTCGTCGCGCTGCAGGCGCCGGCGACGGGCGGCGCCGCGCGGGGGCGCAGGCCCTCCTTGCGCCGGTCCCGGGGCCGCGGCACCGCGAGCTCCACGGGGAAGTCGGGCACGGGGTCCCGGCGCAGCAGCGTCCCGAGCGACGAGTCCTCCGTCAGCATCCAGCCCGGAACGGGCCCGAGCACCTGGACCCATTTTTCGGTGGACGGCGCGGCGGCGAGGGCCGACGCGTCGGGCTTGCGCGACACCTTGACGGCCTCGTTGAACTTGACCGTGCCGAGCGGCCGCGACGCGCGGCTCGGCGCCTCGCGGACGACGACGGGGCCGCCGTGGTAGGCGGCGCGCCAGGTCTCGCCGAGCATGACGCGCCGCTCCTCCTTGGTGACCTTGAAGCCCAGGGGCGTGCCCCAGCCCTTGGCGCGCGTCCGCTCGCGCTGGCGGATCTCGACGAGCGGCTTCTTGTTGCCCGTCATCCTCATGCAGCCCGGCGGCTCGCCGAGGTTGACGAAGCCGTCGAAGGGCGTCGCGAGCTCGACGACGCCGCCGCGCTCCTTGCTGCCCCAGACCTTGTCGCCGCGCTTCCGGTGGGACACGACGCGGCTCCGCTCCCAGGCCTCGAGGCGCACGAAGATGGACGCATGCTCGACCTCCCACTCGAAGGCCTGGGCGTCGCAGGTCGTGCCGCCGGAGCCGGCGATGCTGCTATTCTCCTTCGTCCGCTTGCCGCCCCAGGACATGGCGGCGCCAGAAGACGACTAGCTCGGCGGCGTCTCCTTCCACGATCGATGGAGAGCGGGGGCTGCATCGTTGAACTTCACGAACTTTAATTAGCTGTTTATGAGTTTTCACTTCACCAATGTTCCAGATCGCCATTGCCAATTGCGACATTCAAGGGCTGCCCGATGGCTCTCCCGATGCGTCCACGTCGCCCGTCTCCGGCGCTTTGATCCTGCGTCCACGTCGCTCGCCGCCGGCGCTTTGAGCCTCGCCGCCGCCCGATGGATCCCGCCTCGGAGCCGATACGCCAGGCGACGGTCTGCAGCCGGAGCGGCGCCCTCCTGCGCGAGGGCGCGTCCCTCGAGAGCGGCGTCGTGGGCAAGGCGATCCACGGCCAGAAGTGCCTCGTCGGCGAGCTGCACGAGACGACGAGCAAGGGGCACGTCGTGCTGCGGCGCCGCGTGCTCTCGCCCGTCGAGGGCTTCGTGTCCGAGAAACTGCTCAAGTTCAGCCCGGCCGAGCGCGCGCGCGCCAAGGCGCGCGGGCGCCACGACGCCCCGCCGGACGTCGGCCGCGGCGCCGCGCTGAGCGACGGCTACGAGTCGCGGCTGCGCGAGATCGCGCACCGCAAGCGGCGCGAGGCGCTCGTCGACCTGGAGCGGAAGCGCGAGCACGCCGTCGCCGCGGTCCGCGCGCAGGAGCGCGCGCTCCAGGACCTGTGGTCCGCCACGATCCTCGACGACCAGCGTCGCGCCGCCGCGCGGGACCGGGACCGGCGCCAGCAGCAGCGGCGGCGCGCCGCGGAGCTCCGCGCGGCGCCGCGGACGCCGCGGGGCCGCGGCGCCGCGCGCGAGCCCCCGCGGCCGCCCGACTCCGCGCCGGCCGCGCGCGGCGCCGCGCCGCTCCGCACGCTCACGCCGACGGCGGAGCGCGCGCGCCGGTCCAAGTCCCTGCCGCCGGGCCGGCCGTCGACGCCCGCGCGGCCCGCCGAGGGGCCCGTCTCCGCGCGGCGCCGCGACCGCGAGCGGACCAACGGCCACGGCGACGTGCGCGCGCTCGACGACGCGACCTTCGACCGCTGCGTCGCGGACGACGCGACGTGGATGGTCAACTTCTACGCGTCCTGGTGCGTCTACTGCACGCGGCTGGCCCCGGCGTGGCGAGAGCTCGCGGCCGCCGCGGGCCCCGCGGCCGCGCGCGGCGGCGCGGTCCGCGTCGGGGCCGTGGACGTCATGGCGAACCCGAAGCTGGCGAAGCGCTTCGGGATCCGCGGCTTCCCGACCATCGTCCTCTTCCGCGGCGGGTCCATGTACGCGGCCGCGCCGAAGTCGACCGCCGGTTCGGGCGACCAAACTCCACACCTCTCTCGCTCGGTCACATCGCAGTCGTTTCGGCCGATTCTTGGACGAGTCGTTTGCTCTCGTCGATGTCTCGCCGAAGCGTCTGGGCCACTTTGTTCGATGACGCTCGCATTGAAGTCGGGTCGAAGATTCGGGTTCCGCGCAGGTACGAGTACGTCGGCGTGCGGTCGCCGGAGTCGCTCGTCGCCTTCGCGTGGGGCGGCTTCGAGGACCTCGCGAAGCCGCTCCCGGTGCCGCCGCCCGACGACGAGCCGGAGCAGCGGACGCCGCCGAAGGCGCCGAAGCCGTCGCCGAAGAAGAAGTCGCCGAAGAAGCGGGCGGACGCGCGCGAGCCCGAGCCCGAGCCCGAGCCGGAGGCGGCGGCCGCCGCCGTCGAGCCGCGGAGCCCGCAGCCCGCGGCGCCCGCGGCGCCCGCGGCGCCCGCGGGGCCGTCGAAGTGGTGGGTCGCGAGCCTGCTGCGGAAGCTCCAGGCCGCGGCGCGGGGCTTCGCGGCGCGCGCGCGCGCGGGCCGCGCCGCGGCCGAGCGGGCGGCCGCGCACCCCTGCGACGGCCACGCGCGGCGCGCGCCGCCGCGCGAGGACACGCGGACGCTCGTCGCGCACCTCGTCGAGCCCTTTGGCGACGACGGTGCGCGCGCGCGCGCGGTCTTCGCGTGGGTCGCGGACAACGTCGCCCACGAAACGCCGGCGCTCCTCGAGGAGGAGCACCCGGAGGCCGTGCTCCGCCGGGGCACGGCGGACGCCCTGGGCTACGCGAACGTGCTCAAGCACCTCCTCGACGTCGCGGGCATCCCCTCCATGGCGCTCCGGGGCCTGTGCAAGGACGCGCCGGCCGCGACGCTCGCGGCGCCCGCGAGGCACGCGTGGTCCGCGGTGCAGCTCGACGGCGACTGGCGGCTCTGCGACGCGTGCCTCGGCGCGGGGGTTCAGCGCGGCGGGTCCTGGGCGAAGCGCTTCGACGCGTACTGGTGGTCCGTGGACCCGGACAAGTTCCTCGCGAGCCACCTCCCGGACGCGCCGCTGCGCCACTGGCAGCTCGTGCCGCGGCCGCTCGTGGACCGCGCCGCCTGGGAGGACCTGCCGCGCGTGCACCACAGGGCAGGACAAGAGAGCGAAATTCCCAACTTCAAAGCCTCATATCTCGGCCGTTTTCCACTCGTTTCGGCTGATTTTTGGACGAGCGATCATCTCTCGGAACGCTCTCGAAGCGTGGATGCTTTTTTTTGGAACGCGCGCGCGCGGAACACTCACGTTGAAGCGACGTTGAATCTCTCTTGTTCTGCCCAGGTGCACCACGCCGCCGCGGACGCGCACGGCGTCGCGCTCGCGGCGCCGCTGGCCGCGCGCGTCGCGCACGGCGCGCCGGCGCCGTTCCGCGCGTCCTTCGACTGCCCGCCGGCCGTGGCCTTGATCGCGTCGCT